CAAGTACTGCCTACATCTGGCAGTGTGAGAAAAAGAGAGAAGAGCAAGACAGCTCCAGCACAGATGGAAACACTGCTCTATCTCCTCCATTTAGAATTTCATCTGCTTGTCATTCTTGTCTAAGTGGAAGCAAGTATTGTACTGGTCCTTAACATTCTCTGCATATAAAACCAGAGTGACATATTCAGGTTTGAAAGGCCTCCATTTATTGTTAATCAAAGAAAGCCTCTAGAATAATGAAATCAGTAATTGTATATGCACATGAAAAATGCAGCAGCACAGTGTTATTCCTAATGACTGTTACCATATTTTTTTTCAAATACACAGTCCTCTGGGCCCATTCAATCAGTTATACAATAATACTTCTCTTATTCCCTTAGATGAAGCTTCTTTTACTTCATTTCCATTTATATTTCCAATTTCCCCACTAGACATTGTTATCTGGGTCACATTAGGGAACGATCTGCCTCATGAAATCAGAAAGGAATCCATTGAAAGGCACCCAAGGTTATGATGTATTGTAACCTCTCTTGTCATAATTTCACACTCTTAAGGGAGATTTTTTAATCAGGTATGAGGAGGAGAGCCTTAATCAGCAAAAATGAGGTGGGCACTGTGAAAGCATCCTGTTTTATGTAAAAGAAATAATTACAAGTGCAAGGGATGTGATGGAGTGATAGCTTCAAAATAAATTGCAGTGAGACCTTGTGCTGCTCAGCAGAGCTTTGGGTTAAGAAAGTAATGACATCTTAGTCTATTTTAGGGGCAAGAGAAGAAGGAAACCGATTTTCAGAGGAAAGTGCAGATTGTTTTCAGTGCTCTGGCAGATACAGGTGGGCTGTCCCATCTTGAATCAGAGCTAGACAGTGTTTTGCTGCAGAGATCACAAGTATTTCAAGTGGCTCATATAGCTACTCTTGTGAACTGATGTGACTGTGGGCTGAGGCAACTCTCAGTTCTAGGAGTAAGCAGGGATATCCCAGCCCAGGATGCTCAGCCATCATGTTGCATAGTACACCAGCATCAAATTGTTTTAGCCAGTATGTTGCAAAATAGTCAGTCTGAATATTCAGTGACTTTTCTGGGCTTATTCTGTGTTTGGGACATGGATCTCCACCTAAAAAAAGTCTTATTATAATTGCTGTAAAAGTGAATTACTTGAGTTTTAAGTTTTTCTGAGGAGAGCAGAGACATTGAAGCATGAAGACTGTCATGGGAACAGAAGTGGGACGTGTTCATTTCTCTCTCATAGGCAGAGTCAGCAGTGTCTGGGTGTATCCCTTCAGCCTTGCCCTCTCCAGGGAACCACTGAATATTTCTCTGTAGAAATATAGCTTTTCTTACATGACATAAATGTTCTGTGTTAGCACAATGCTTTATATATTTCAAACTGATCTTGGACAGTACTGTGGGGGTAAAAAACTGAATAATATCTATTTTTTTTAAACAGAAGGCCATCATTAGCCATGTCTCACCTGACATCCTTTATCTGTTCAGAGTTCAAGCAGTTTGCCGAAATGAAATGCGTAGTGACTTTAGCCAGACTATGCTCTTTCAAGGTAAAAAAACCATATACATATTTTTGCATTGAACTTTTCTTTGTTTGTTTAATATTTTCTTTGCAGGGTGCAATATGGTGTGAAGTTATTTCAGAAGATATTTGAATGCATGTAGACAATGCCAATTTCATATTGTGGCCAGTGACTGAATCTCATTTCCAGTGAGGAGGGTTTGCTTACACCTCTCACTGTCAGGGTTTGTCAGGTTTTAGGAGAATTTAGAGCTTTTCTTGGTACTAGTTTTCTGAAACAAATTCATCAGAGACTGCTTATGCATCAGAGGCACAGCTATAACAGAATGTGAGTCTGATCTGTGTCTGTGTTATGTAAAGAGGAAAGGAGATCAGTCCTACCTTGACAACCACATGTGGAGACATTCAGGTTTTACCATGCACGCAACCTCAGTGATTTCCAAAACATACATATTTAACGAAAACCAAAAGAACTAGATGATAAGCTGTCCTTTGTCATGTATTTCCTTTTAAGTTTATTGGAGAAATCTGGTAAAGCTGAGATTTGGTAGAAGAACTTGACGATTTTAAAGGTTTTTTAAATGCTAAAGTTTTGCTCCTTCCTGGGAATTTATTATGACATTTTTTATTAAGTAGGGCAAATTTTGCCTCTGATGCGAGCATTCCCTCCTACTCGAGATTACAGATGCAATAACCTCAAAATGGGTAGTGGAAGAATAAAACAAGCAGAGAGTTAAAAGTTTCAATCCTTAGGATGAAGCAAAGAGTTGTCACTTGGATCTGATGCAGGAACATATGGAACAAAATAATAGGGGCATTTTTCAGTGTCATTTTCAGAAAGTATAGGGGTTTTGATCCTGCTTTGCTAGCACTTAATGTCTGAGGGATGTCAAGCTATGGACATGGTTTCATTCTGTAGTGGTGGCATGCCACAGTGTTGGCAGCATTGCAGAGAGAGCAGGGATCAGACAAATGTCCTGTGCAAGTCACAGCTCATGTGTCGCTCTGTTCTTAGTAGCCCAGCAAGGTGTTTTAGACTTCACTTTTAAGTGCCAGGCAGAAGTTTAAAACTGGTGTGTTGCTTATTATGACCTCGTTTACTAGATGATGGAATAGAAAATTCTTTGAAGTTTGACTACAATAAGTGTTTAATCACAGTTAGGAGTAAATCATTACTGACAGCTCTGTAGGAGATCCTTTGGGTACTCTAGCCCAGTTCCAGCCCAGTATTCAATGCAGTGGAAGTTGCACACACATCTGCAGTAGGAGGAGATGATGTGATTCCTTCCACATGTCCCCAAAAAGGAGCTGCTGTTCTAATCTCTAGCCGTACCCAACATCTAACCTAGAAAATTAATCCACTTGAGCTTTCAAAACATTATTTGGAGGTTGATTGTAGTTATAGTTGAGATATATAGCAATAAATAATGATAGTATTATATGGACAGAAAAAAATAATTATCATCAAGCTACTCTTGCTTCCTGTATAAGTCAGCATGTCTCATCCAGCTTGGGGTTGAAGAAGACAATTTGTTTTCTGTCAGTAAGCTGGCATTGCCAGGCCTGAGTAATTAAAGGCAAGCAAGTCAGTGTTTAGACACAAGTACAGTGAGGTGAGTAATGCCCAAGGAGCTGAGTTGCCTTTGCTCCAGACTGAGACCTGTACCTGTATTCTCTCTGGCCACATATTGAGCAGTAGTTTAGCAGTTGTTCCTCTGCCTCCTCCCCTGCCCTGACGTGCTGCTCTTCTTCCCTCCCCAGCTAACACCACTCGAATTTTCGAGGGGACCCGAATTGTGAAGACAGGAGTGGTAAGTCATGGATTTAGGGAGCAGGGATTTGGGGACGTTTCCCACCAGGTGGCAGCATGATGTTGGAAATCTGCAGCAGGACCCAGCTTTCCTGGGGAAGGGGTGCCCAGACCTGTCACAGAAGGGTTTATAGCATAAAATACAGTTCCAATATGAAATTATTTTCTAGCTTCATGCTCTGAGAGGCTTTGAGAGAACTGGAGAATCGAATGAAAAAGGTTTTCCTCAATCTGTAGTCAACCCATTTAGAGGGGATTTGTAAAATCTTAATGATAACTATGGAAATAAATTTAATTTATTTTATTAACTGTATGAGCAGAAGTATATGCAACAGACATAAGGCCTCACACATAAAGAGCATCTTTGCTCTTCCAGTGCTTTAAGGATACCTGTTACTGTGTGAATAAAGCCTGAACAATGTCTTTGTTTTATTTTAATTCAGGTGAGACTGTAACAAGTCACTGAAGTCTTTTGTGTTCCAGAATTAGAAATGTTGGTACACTTACAGTAAAAGCGGAATACACTGTTTCAGTTTTGAAACCGTCTTATTAGTTTATTGAATATAAACTAACCATAACCTAAATTTCTTGGCATTCAGTCTACTGAGTTGTTCAGTCAAATTTATGGGCTGCATTCATACTATTGAATTTACTCTAAGTACATTCCTTCTGGTTTTATTCTGATCCAGTTTGATATACTCCCTAGTAAGCAAATAACATATACAAACCTTGCATTTGAATGATTAATGCTTGTTTAATGATGTATAGAGGTATTCTAGATATATAAAATCTGCTGTCAAATTTTAATACTCATTCCAGCTTTGAGACTGTTCATGCCCGCAAAAAGCAAATCTCGCAATGCCTTAGGGATTCAGATTGATAAGTATCTGAAAGTTTAGATGCTTATTTAAAGATTTGGCTTGAAGTCTCTAAAGCACACGTTTTCATCTAAGAGATCTCAGGTTCTCTGTGATTGCAGCTGGTCAAAAATAACATGAGAAAGCAGCCTTTCTTGGTTTACTGCAGCATTTAAACTACATGGCTTGACTGAACCTGGAAATTGCAGCGAAATGCAGATATATTGTTAAGTTATAAATTTCAGTTTCCAAAATAAACATTTCACATTTTTTCAATGTTCAGCAGCACCTACTTAACCTTTTTGTCCTCATCTGGTGTGTACCTTTCCAGCTAATGGTCCTGCTGATGAATTCAGTAATGTGAGACATTTTTCAGTAATTCAGACAAGAATGGTCAGGTTGTCCAGAGGAACCGCTGACTCAGCTCTTCCACAGAATTATTCCTTGTCTTTAGACAATTCACTTCAGTCTCTTTTTCCACATGTAATTTAGGACTAGTTCTTTATGAATAGACTGATGTTTAGTTCTTTATGTGTGTACTAAGGGGTTTTATTTACAGCAGAGCACACACGTGTTCTGTGACCCGCATGCGTGCAGTGGGTTCACATTAGAATAATATTGGCAGGGTCAGAGGATGCAAAGTCCATAGTTCATTACCTGATTTCTCTCAGTGAAGCAGGTAGTGCCAGTCCTGCCTTTCATTCTCTGGTGGTGGCCAGGGAAGGTCCCTGTGGATGTGGAAAACCAAGTCTGTACATGGATGTCACAGCCTGGAGGTCCTGGCAGACGTGGTGGTGGCTTGCTGAAGGGCTCCTGATGCTCTCCAAGTCCCTCAGGAGTGCCCAGCCGGCCATGCTGCATTTCTTTTGTAACAAGAGTAATGCCTCATAGCAACACCAGTCCTTAGGATAGTAATCCTGATGGGTAAATTAAGGAAATAAAAATAGTATCCTTTGAGGCCCTCACAATGTACGTGGGAAGAGCCAGAGTTCCCTGTCAGAGCAGGCCCACCAGCCGTGGATGGTCATGTTGGCAGCCATTATTTTGGGACAGCCCTTATGTAACACTGTATTTTTAAACTCCTGTCTTCTGAGGATTAAAGCACTGTGAGTAATGCAGCTGAACTCATTAAACTCCTTTACATTCTTCTCACCCCAAGAGGAAACGTTACTCACAAGTCGGTAGTGATGTGGGTGGATGTAAAATGAAGATGAAGATAAGGATAAAGAGGGTTTTAATGATGATGTGGTGAAGGCAGGGAGGGTTCCTCTCTTGGTAGTGTGCTGGTAGCTCATGTGGTGTGTTCTGTCCTGGCTCAGCCTTTCATCCAGCTGGTGTTGAGTGTCTGGTTTTAGGAGAATAGCATGTGTGTGAAAAGGGAGGGAAAGGCAAGAGAATGACCCCAAGCGCCATGCTGGGCCCCTGCTGATGCTCTCTGCTGTGTTTTTTTCCCCTCTGCTGCCCATGATCTCCTCAAGCCCACAGCATCTCCTGCCTCCTCAGCAGACATGGCTCCCATCAGCTCCGGCTCCTCCACCTGGACCTCCTCGGGGCTCCCCTTCTCCTTCGTGTCCATGGCCACAGGCATGGGCCCTTCCTCCAGTGGCAGCCAGGCCACCGTGGCCTCCGTGGTGACCAGCACGTTGCTGGCAGGGCTGGGTTTCAGCGGCGGGGGCATCTCCTCGTTCCCCAGCAGCGTGTGGCCCACCCGGCTGCCCGCGGCCGCCGCCCCCAGCAAACAGGCCGGCCGGGCCCTGGTGGCCACCACCGAGGCCGCTGCCGCCTCCCCAGGGCCCGAGCGGGACTCGGCACTGACCAAGGACGGCGAGGGAGCCGAGGAGGGGGACAAGGATGAAAAGAGTGAAAGCGAGGACGGGGAGCGGGAGCACGAGGAAGAGGAAGAAAAGGATGCAGAAAAGAAGGAGAAAAGCAAGGCGACGGCAGCCTCAGAGGCACGCAACAGCACAGAGCCCAGCGTGGCCGTGGCTTCCCCCAATAGGACTGCCGAGGGAGAAGGAAATAAAACCCTATCGGGAGAAGTGCCAAACCAAAACGTGTCCCCCACGGCTGGAGCTGCCGAGAAGGAGAGCTTGGCCGAAGCCGACACTCAGCCCCAGCTGCTCCCTTCCACCCAAGTGCCACCAGCGTCCACCGACGAACTGTACCTGGGCAAGATCCCAAGAAGACCGGAGACAACAAGAAAACCTCCTCCCAAGATGGACAGGTTTCCAGAGGAATATCCCTCAGATAACAAATTCATCACCATTAACCCAGGTGAGTGATCTGTGGGAAACCATTCATACCAGCTTAAGTGTTGGAAAACAGCACAATCCAAACTCCTTAGCGATTTCCAGTAGGTACAGCATTTTTCTGGTGTCTGGCTGCATCTGATTGACAGGTTGTCACAGGACCCAACCCCACAAATTGTTACTGGGTGGAGAGTGGAATGGATATTTATTGGGACAGATTCATGGTCCTTGTAGCTTATTGGAAGAGAAAATCTGGAAGAATTGTAACCCCCAACATGCTACATCAAGAACTTTGTTGAAAAGAAAAAGGGAGGGGAATGCAATGAACTATAGCTGTGAAATTAATTTGGAGGAGCAGCTGCTGTGCTGAACTGGCATTTCATAGGAAGTTTGGTATATGTGCTTCTAGCTAATTTAGTTTATCTGCAGGATTCTCCCTGACTGGGCTTTGAGATATTCTCCCAAATGAAGGATCGTTGCTGGTTTATTTCTCAACCCAAAACCTACATGCTCTGATCTTCCAAAACAAGGCACCTTATGCACTAGGATTACCTTCTGTTCTTTCTGTGGAAAAAAAAAATCTTAACCAGGCATAGTTCACATATTTTCTATTTGTCCTGGTAAGAATTGCCAGTGCTCCTGTACACTCCAACTCTGGATATATGTACCAGCTCCACAGTGTGTGCACAGCAAATACAAGCTCTTGGAAGCCTGCCCGGGTGTTCTGCATGTGCACCAAGCCTGGTGTGGTCAGGGTTTGCTGCAAGCTGGTCCCTCATGGTGCTCCCAATGCACTGTGCAGAATGTCCACACGTGTTCCTGCTTGGGGAGCTCCCGGCACTGGTGAGGAAAACCACAGGAAGCAAATGGAGTACATGCATGTGGATTTATTTTAGGTTTATTTGTTTAGATTTAGATTGATTTATTTATTAGACAAGTTTATTTGAGTGATTATGTGTATTACCACAGCATTTATGAGATAGTGCACTTTTTTGGTTTTGGGGGGGTTTTACTACTACTGTTTGTTTTGCTAATCTGTAGACTGTTTTATAATTCTCTTGTTCCATCAAAGCTGTTCTAGAGTAGTGTGAAAAAGCCTTACATATTTACTTTTCCCTACATAGTTAAACCCAAAATTCAGATATTGTGCATTCAGTTATAGCTCAGAACCAATTTAAAAAACAAAGCTAAATCCAATCTTTAATAACATTTTTTACAGAAATGCTGACCAGTCTGTAATGCTGTGAATCATAACTGTTAGAGATCAGATTAACAATGCAGAAGCTGAGAAACCCTGCAACAGGTTGTGCAGATTTTTTTTTTTTTAAACACACTGCTGTTTTTCTTACTCCCCAGCTGGAAATCCTCAAAGGCCAGTGCTCCCACTGAATATGGTCTGAGATGCCTGTCAGGCAGTTTTCAACATGCCACTTGCCCTAATCATCCTCATGTTAGGAAGGAGGCCTGTTGGGGGCACTACCCCTGTGAGAACACACTTGGGAATGCAGGAGAAGGAGCTTTCCTCCAGATTGGATCTAGGTTACCAAAGACACAGGCTGGTGAATTAGACTAGCACAAAGCCTAAGACTAGTTGCTTCAGCTTAATTGTTTTCCCCAGTCACATGGAAATTTGTAATTCATACAGACAGACCTGACATAATTTATGCCAGGAGTTGAGTTCAGTGAAACTCCAGCCATAGCAAGACCTCTTCCTGTGAGAAAGGGCCTTAAAGGTTTTCCATAACAAAGTAAGCCTGAAATCAAGACAAGGGAAGCCAAGAGGGCATTGTCAGAAGTGTCTGAAAGGATTCCTGAGCATCAGGACAGCTAAGACCAGTTAAGGCTCACTTCCAAAGTGAGCAGAAAGCATACCTGCAGTTTACTCTGTCCGAATGTGAGAGCAGAAACATTTTTGGATCTTTTCTCCCTGCATCTTTTAAAAGCAAGTTTTAAAAACCTGTCAAGGTTTCAAAAATGTTTTTATGAGTAGAAAGTTTAATAATTTTAAAGAGTAGAAAATTGTTTCATAACAATGTACATTTCTAAAATTAATTATATGGCATCAAATCAGCAGTTGTAAGGAGATAACTAAAGGGGAAAGTACTCGTGAGTGTGCATGATTAGAGGAGAACAGGGAACTCATGAGAAATTACAGGGAAAGTGCGAGGCCAATTAGTACAGCAAGGCTCATTTTCTTTTAGTGCTTACTTCACACATACACACACACACACACCTCTCCTGAGGCCATGTCATTACTTTCCAAATGGCACTGGCCTCTTTTTGCCCGTGGTATTGGCCAATGCTAATGATTGTCTTCTGTCACCTAATGCTTGCTTGCATTCTCCTCTTTCATTTTCCTGACATCCTTTTCTCTGTTTTGGTGCCCACATTAGCCTAATTGTACTTTTGATCTGCAACTGTTACACACACAGCTGCTCAGCATTGTCCATGACTCTGAAACCTGAAAATCAGAAAAACAGCAATTAAAACTGTACTCTCACAAAAGAGGGAGGGGGAAAAAAAGAAAATAAGGGAGGGAAAGAGATTAAACCCAGGATGATTCAGTTTAATCAGGCTAAAGCTGATACTATCCCACAGAATTTTGGTTGATTGTGCCAGACAATTAAACAGATCCTTTGTTTTTTACTGGAGTTAACAACTGGGCTGTTGTAAGCAAGTAATAGCTGTGGGACTGGGGCAAAAGCCTGAGTGGTGAGCTGGGTCTGAGGACAGAGACACGGGTTTGACTCCTCATCCAAATTTCAGCCAGGTCCTCCCATCCCTCACTGCTCACCCTCCTCTGCTGAGTTCCTCCCATGAGAGGGCTTTGTAGAGACAGAGACATCATGATGTGCAGGGTTTAATTTCAAGCCTGATGTATGCATTTAACAAAGACTGAATATTGGGTTTTAGAGCAGTCTTTGCCAGGTCTGAGGTTACAAAAGCCTTTTAGGGATAACCTCATTAGCATAATTAAACATCTGTGTAATTCTTCTCCATCTGCAGCAAGGATTATTAAGCTGTATTTTCATGTAGCACTCCAGCCATTCTCACACAGAATCACAGAGTGTATAAAGCTGGGAAGGACCACTGGAGTCAGCTAGTCCAGTCTCCTTGCTCTAGAAGGGTTCCCTATAGCACTAATCATGATTGTGTCCAGACAGCTTTTAAATATCTTCAGAGAGGTACATGGCAACTTACAGGAGCAAACAGCAGAATGGCTTGAAAATAAAGAACTGAATTATTTACTGCCTGCAAACTATGAATTTCAGATATAGGATTAAATATGATTGGCATCTGTTACAAAGCAGTGAAAAGCCATGCTTAGTGGTGCACAGCCTGTAAACGTGACTACTGCAGGAGTGCCTTGAAGAAATAGGGGGTAACAGCTGCACCATGACACAAGCTTGTTTCAAAGGTAGTGCTTCTTTAAGAAACATGGGTTTGCCTTTTCATCATTTAATAATATGGCAAATATTTTCCAGAATTAATTAATGCCTTTTTATAAGTTCTTAACTTCATTTACTCAAGGGAAGGATAAGCAAGCTGACTTTCTCTTAGGAG